AATATAATTTAATGAGAGTCAAACAAGGACTTAAGAGTGACGCAAGATTTTAGGTTAGCGTTTAACTTAAATTGTAATTGTTAGAAACTTGATTACTACTGTAAAATAAATAAATAAATTACTTGATGAAAATATAGAGTTTGTTCAACAAAATCAATAGGTAATATACTAATATTTGAGATGGCCAATAAAAATTTGGGAAGAAATAAAATATGGTTACTTGAATGATGGTTAACTATCCAAAACACGGTACCATTGAGATTAATCAAGTTCGGGACATGATTGAAAAAGAAACAAAAAATTCGAAATTTAAACTCGTGTTGTATTGGAGCCAATATAGCTTCTTCATGGAGATTGTGTGTTCATGTTAACACTTAACAAGGAATCGATTTAATAAAAATCGATGTCCATCTTATACTAAGCACTTGTGACATGACATTATTAATTCATTGATAAATAACAAATCACTTAGCCCCTGTTTGATTTGAATAAAAATAAATTTTTAGTAAATTTGATAAATGTAGTTGAAATATACAATTGAAAAATTGATAAAAATTATATGCCCATTAAATTTTTAATTGAAAATGATTTCAGGAAAAAAAATGATTTTAAGAAATGACAGTAAACAAGGGCTTAGCAATGAATAAAAAAACTCAACATTCCAAAAACTGGCTTTTTAAATTGAATTTTATGACCTGAGAGAGAGATTTGTTTTTGACTTTCTTGTGGGAAGAATTAAGAAAAAGTTGGCTTAATTATTAGATTGACATTTACTTGACTTTTGGTATCCTATTTATTTGTCACGATAAAAGATTTATGGAATATGCTACTTGTATATAATGTGACGTCTATAACGGTATTCACCCCCTCACATGAAGGGGGACCCACTTCGAATATATTATATTTTATTCGAAGTGGGTTTATTCGAAGTGGGTCCCCTTTCATGCGAGGGGATGGACACCGTTATGAATATCGTATTATGTACGTGTATCATCACTCTTAATTCTAAACATTTATGGACCACACAACATGTACACAAATGTTAACACAATCGTTTTCACTCATGTGAGTTGACAGATGTTGGTACATTGATCTTGATGATACATTTTTAATTAACTGTCAGATTTTTGACACATAGAAGCTGTCAATCAAGGTGTACACTTTGTATGTACAAATAGTTTAATTTATTAAAAAACAAAATCATAGTGCATATACATAAAGGTTGACACAATCGTTTACATACATGCGAGTTGACAGATTTTAGTACATTGATCTTGATAAAATATTTTTCAATCAACTGTCAAATTTTTGACATATAGGAGTTGTGAATCATGATGTACACTCTGTGTGTACAAGTAACATTAAGAAATTAGCTCTGGATTCTCAGATTAACTATAAGAAAGAGACTCATATTTCAATTACTTCTGTAAAAAATATTAAATCTAACAAGGAAAGGATAAATGTCCATACTCGTACTCGATTTTTTCTAAAGATAATTGCACGAGGGACTGTAATTTGCGCAATAAAGAGAGAAATCAAGAAATTGGCTATGGGTTTGTATCCTCTCCTCTGCAATATCATATTTATGTTCGTACTCTGACAATGACCTGTGAAGAATGGTGGCACATGTGTCTTGTCAATCATTTTTTGTCAACGGTCGGGATTCCTCGTACGGTTCATTCAACGGCTTAGATTTCATACTTTTTCGCAAACACATCTTTTACGACAGCCCCAGAGAGAAGAGAGAGTCAGCCGTCTGCGTAGTGTATCACATGTAATTAACTACATGTATTTCTCTGGGTGTCTGCTATCAGGTCGACCTTGGTCGGGTAGACTATAAAAGAGAAGAAAATCACACACACACACACTCTTATTCTTCTCAGAAAAGCTGATAGACAGTGATTGGCCAAGAAAGTTTAAACCTTTAAACTTCAACTGACTGAGGCTCAAAAACCCAGAAGCAAAAAGGAAAATTAATGGGGGTTTTTCTTGGTTTTCTTGTTAACGAAAGATAAATTAGAAGTGGTCTAAGCTGGGTTAATTGTCTTTATTTTTGAAAATTAATGATGATCATGAGCTGAAATCAGGTGTTCACTGTCCTGTGATCTTTTCTTTAGTTTCTTTCTGTAGGCCTTTTTTTTCTTGTAGAATTAGTGATATTTGCTGTTGAAATGAGAATATTTGAGTTGGGTAAGTGAGAGATGGTGAATTGGAGCTTAGAGTGAGTGAAGATTTAGGGTTTGAGACAAGGTCTTGTGAGATGAGCTGAGAGTTGTGTTGCTCTATATAATTTTAGATATTTTAACATATATATGCATATCCATATAAAAGAACCGTGGATGGAAATATGAATCTTTCAACATCAGGGATGAGTCAGCAGCCTCATGAAGGTACCTGTTAAGTCTTTATTTTTCTATATAGCTGTCCTTTTTGTGTAGCTTAGACTTATATTTTTCCTTTTTGTTGATTCTAATTTTTTTCTTGAAAGACTCTTTAATGTGAGTTTATATTGCAAATGAAAGAGAATTTTGTAATTATATAAGTTATAGATAGAGTTGTTAACTAATTGTGGGTTATGGAAGGGGAGAAAAAGTGTTTGAATTCGGAGCTATGGCATGCCTGTGCTGGTCCTCTTGTGTCCCTGCCGACGCTTGGGAGTCGCGTGGTTTACTTTCCTCAGGGTCATAGTGAGCAGGTTCTCTTTCAATTATTCATTTACACTCCGTTCTTTTCTTGATGTTGGATGTTAGTCTACTTATTTTATGTACTTTTTATTTGTTTGTTTATGGATCAAGAGATGTAATGGTCCCCAATTCAAAATGTTCATCAGGTTTCTGCCACAACTAATAAAGAAGTTGATGCCCATATACCTCATTACCCTTGCTTGCCACCCCAGTTGATTTGTCAACTTCACAATGTCACAATGCATGTGAGTTTTCTTCTTTACATGCTTCCTTATTCTCACCTTCTTGTAGACTATCATGCTTTTGAGAGTTCATCAGAACTGAAGGAAATTTCATTAATTTATTCCCATTTCAGGCAGATATTGACACGGATGAAGTATATGCTCAAATGACATTGCAGCCCTTAACTCGGGTATTCTCAAACTATTCTAACTATTTCTAGGAATTGTTCAGAACTTTCTATAATTGTCCTCTAATTATAGATTGCAACATTGTCCTGTTGTGTGGCCACAGGAAGAACAGAAAGATACATATCTTCCTGTGGAGCTGGGAATTCCTAGCAGGCAGCCAACTAATTACTTTTGCAAGACGTTGACAGCCAGTGATACTAGTACGCACGGAGGCTTCTCTGTTCCTCGCCGAGCTGCAGAGAAAGTTTTCCCTCCCCTGGTATTAACAATCTTATGATCTGAACATTCCGAAGCAATCTTGGTGTTGATATTGTCTTCAATTTGCTATTTGGTTCCTCAGGATTTCTCGCAGACCCCACCTGCACAGGAACTTTTTGCCAGGGATCTCCATGATGTCGAGTGGAAGTTTAGGCATGTTTTCCGAGGTTAGTTTTTGAGATCTCACATTGTTGGTAAGATCTCAATTCTTGAAAACCGATCAATCAAATTGCCGTTATTCAGCTTTTGGACGAGTCAATTGCAATATCCATGGATATCAATGTAAAAAAAAGCTTATAAATTTTGCATGGTATTACTGGAATTTGGATCTCTCTCTCTCTCTCTCTGAACTCTGATGGAGAACATTGACCTTGAGTAATCTAGAAAGGAAGTGTCTGTATATTCATGCTGATGCAGGCACACAAATATGTATATCGCGTCGTAGAGAGTTTGGCTACGGTAATGCGCATGGTGGGTAAAGTGTCTGTTGTTCAATGTAAATAGCCTGTGTTTTATTGTTTATTAATGAATGTTCAAAAATTGGTAAAAATAAAAGTCTACCAATACAAGGGAAATAAAATTACATTATCATTACTCTTTATCATAAAGTAAATAAAAAGTCTTGTCCCCTACATTTTGGCATAAATTAGACGAAAAAAGTGCATGGAAATAGAGGAAGAAAGTGAATAATTAATGCTATTCTTTTCTGATATGATGCTATTCTTTTCTGATATAAGTGGAGAAGAAGAGAGTAAAGTAGTAAGCAGTATTTAATTTCTCTACATTGGAGATTTATCTCAAGAAGGAAGTTATAAAGAGGTCAGATATTCATGGTATAGTATTTTCCAGGTCTTTCTATTCCTTTCTACCTGTCTGCCTTTGATCTGGAATGAACTTGTGGAAAAGGAAGGAACTTCTACTGGGAGAGGAAATGGCTTATGGTTGTAGTGTGGTTTTTCTTTAAACTAGGAGGATATTTTGACTAGTCTTTGTACTGTATTGTTCACGTGGTTCGAAAATGCATGTGACTTGAAAATTGGTTTGAGTCCCAGCCCACTTTAGGAGTAATTTTAGATATACTGATAGCCCAACCCTTTAATTGGTCATCTTTAAGTGTATGGATGACGAGCTTTAGATCTGTGCAATACCATGAGTGACAAATAGTGAGTGGTTTGCTAAACAAATATATCTCAACGCCATAATGGTATTCACCTTTAGTTTAGTGTTACTTGACAATATTGATCAGAGCTCCAAGAGAAAAGGAGAAATTTTTTTTTAAAAAAAATTCGGGATATATGCTAGTGGTAGCCAGTGGGGAACCCTAAGACAAATAGAAAAGCACTGTGTCGTGATTGTTTCCTTTGGAGAAATTATTCGTTGTATGTATATTATTAAAAAGGTGATATTATTTATTGTTTGTATACTTGTATTAAAAAGAAGTTTATATTTATTCTATTTATACCATTTTCTCTCGCTTGCTCGTGTAGAACCTTTAACAATCTCCAGCTTCACAAGTGAACCTTTTGACATTTGGCCTCTTGGTTTGATGGGTTTTATGATTTTCCACAATTCTCCCTAGTCCTTTTCTTCTGGTGACATTCTATACATGAACCTGCCTTTTCGAGCCAATCTGCATCTTACAGTAGCTCCTTTGTGTGTGCACGGGCTTTCGCGTGCAACTAATTTCTGATCGTTAGACTGTTTGTCCTTGAACTGCCTCATCCTCCCTCATTTGAGAGTGTGCGTAAGGTGCAAAGCCAAGTTTTTCTTGCTCCATCGCATCTAAATCACAAAGTGTATAAGCGACTTAGCTAGCCCAAAATTTCTACTCCTCCGATATTACTCATTGGTTTGCATGAAATTCGCTAGAATAGATGAGACCTTAACGAAATTGCATTCTGACTTTATCCTAAGATCTCTAAGTCTATTTATATTAATTTCTCTCTTATTTATTCTCCCAAGATAGGAGAGAGCTGTTTTATTGGGACGCTTGGCACGTATTGACTAAAATACAGGAATTCAAATTAAAGGATTATAACATTCAGTTCGTTGATTTTATTGAATGGAATACCTTCCTCTTTTGCCTTCTTCTAATGATGAGGTTGTAGATGAAGCAGCCACTACACTAGAGATTCGAACATAAATGGACTTGACCTGGGATTTCTTTAGGACTGTGTTGACAATGTATTCAGAGAGCAATATTTCTACTTATGATTATGGACTCTCTTTTTCGTTAGAAACAAAATAATTACCACTCTTGAACATGCCTTGTCATTGAAATTGATTCTGCTATATTGAAGATCCTACAGATGATGACTATGAAAGGAACTGCTATGGATGCCTTTTTTAAGTTTCTTACAGAATTTTTCATGTCATATTGAATGCTTATATTATTTCTCTGGAAATCTATTTGTTAAGGGATATAATCCCACATCGAATAAAGATGTTGACACAGACCAATTAATAAAAATCTTGAGCTACTCCTTTTAATAAGTTTGACCTTTTAAGATGGACCCCCAAATCTTAATATGGTATCAGAGCCCATTATACTCCAACGAGCGATTCGATCCCGGTAAGACTCCAAAAAGTGAGCACGTGGATTTCAAGATTGGTCTGCTCAAATGAGCCACCATCTTGCGGGGGCGTGTTAAGGGATATTATCCCACATCGAATAAAGATGTTGACACGGACCAATTAATAAAGATTTTGGGCTACTCCTCTTAATAAGGTTGACCTTTTAAGATGGACCCCCAAATCTTAATATATTAGAATCCCACATTATTTGAGAAAATATAAATGATCCACTTAATAAGGTGAGGACAATCCTCCCCTAATAAGCCGGTTTTATTAGGTGGAGTTAGGCCCAATATTCCTAACATGGTATCAGAGCCAGGTTCAATTATGCAATGTTGGGTGCCACCCAATATCGATTTGTTCACAGTTGTTTGGCATGGTCCACGCTGTGAGTGAGGGGGCGTATTAGAATCCCACATTACTTGGAAAAATATAAATGATCTACTTAATAAGGTGAGGGCAATCCTCCCCTAATAAGCCGGTTTTATTAGGTGGAATTAGGCCCAATATTCCTAACACTATTGACCATGTCTTGAGAATCTGTTGACTTCTCATCACTACATCTACTAGTAGATATAATGTAATTAGATTCCTTCCAAATCAACCACAAATAATTTTGCCAAAGGAAATATGATTAGCTGTTTAGGGTTGAAACCAGGCCTTGAGAATTTAGATTACTCTTCCTCCAATCGATCTCCTGGCAGTAGAATCTATCCCTTGACTTGGCATGTGCAATCTTCTTCCCCGTCACAATGTCCTAAAATAACAACCAGGTGAAGTGCACATGACTCATAAAATTTAGATCCTTCGTAATCTTTCCTAAAGAACCAGAGCAAATATCGACAAAGAAAGCCAAAACCTCAAACACAACAAGAGAAGCAGCAAGAAGGCCGAAAAACGAGATCTGATCTGTTCTCATACCATATGGTTTTCTGAGTAAATGGAAATTTTATTCAAACTTTTCATGCATAAATAGGCTACATATAATTACTATAGTTGACCTATGCTAGGCCATTACAAGAAACTCCCTTAAATTAAGAGATAGATAAGATTCTAAATTGCGATAGAATCTGTGCAGATTACAACAAAATCCATACAGGTTACAATCAACTATTCCAACATTTCACCAAACATTACATTTGCAGGTTCTCTTTCTACTTACGTGATTAATGTTTGGCACTACTTATTCCTTAATGCAGGCCAACCTAAGCGGCATTTGCTTACAACTGGCTGGAGTGTTTTTGTCAGTGCCAAAAGACTTATTGCGGGGGATTCCATTCTTTTTATCTGGTACCATGTACCTTCTTGGATTTTCCAATCTCTGTTTGATTTTTCATGTTAATATTTAATACAAGACCTTAGTAATTCTGTTTTAGGAATGAGAAAAACCAACTACTTTTGGGAATTCGCCGCACTGCTCGACCTCAAACTGTGATGCCATCATCTGTTCTTTCAAGTGACAGTATGCATATTGGACTGCTTGCAGCTGCTGCACATGCTGCAGCTACAAATAGCTGCTTCACTGTATTCTATAACCCAAGGTTATAATCCTCAAGTAGTTATACATTATCCTCATATTTTATTTTGCTTCTTCTTATCGCATATTATTTCAGGGCTAGTCCATCTGAGTTTGTCATACCTTTGTCAAAGTATGTCAAAGCCGTATATCACACCCGTGTTTCTGTTGGAATGCGTTTCCGGATGCTATTTGAAACCGACGAATCCAGTGTTCGCAGGTATAATGATACCTTCATCTGTAGCATGAGATACATGTTCAATTTTCTTCTTCTGTAATCAGACGCGTTTATTAGGATAGAGAAGATAATTCTAGCATACACATAACTGGGTTTTCTATTCAGCGTCTATCAGGCTAACAAAATGCATTGAAGCCCAAACGTCCCAATCGTATAATCTTACATATGAGATAACAGAGTGACCTAATAGTTTACTGTATTAACTGACCATAATCACAGTTGGCAACTGGAGTTGGTAGCTCCTTTTATGGGGCACCTTAAAAGGCCAATCCCTTGTTGCATGTTGTTTCTTAGATTGTAAAAGACAAATATTATCCCGATGCATGCCAATGTTCTGCGTGATGTATGTGCTATGCGTAGAAACCTCTTTACTTTTTTTTTCGTATCACTTCTTTGGAATAATCAAAAAAGGTTTAAATTCGGGTATCAACCTGTTGAATATTAGGGTTTATACATTAATTAATATTGTGGCAGATGATAAGAAATGAGTGATAAGCATTCTAATGCATAAGGACCAGGCAACCATCTTCTAGTTTGATTTGAATGTTGTTTCTTGAACTGCATATACAAGTGCTCAGGCAGAAATAAAAAAATTTCTAGCGGAAAGTTAAAATTGCGTCTGATGCCGAGAACAAGTACCAAGAACAATTTATATAAGGAGAGGAGTAAAAAGAGAAAAATAAGAAGACCGCAATTTATTCAATAATAATAATGTGTCCATGACAAACAAAGAACCCCTTTACATAGTATTCAATCTAGGATTAATAAGGAAACTAAGTTTCCTTTATAAGGAAACAAAATCAATTGTCTTAAAATCACAATAAAAGGCAATATTAAGTAATAACAAAAATACTGTAAGATCCTGATTAATTTGATTTCTTCTATGCCTTGAATATACTTTCCATGTTGCATCACTCCTCGGTTGAAAAGTACTCGACTCCGGTTAGGTATAATCCAAATAGGCATCCAAAAGCGTAGCGTTTAGGTGACAGAACTCGTCCTTTATAATCCAAGTAGCATCACTAACTGTACGACCCTTCCAACGCATGAGGAACCTACAAAATCCACCCGCATGTGAAGCAACAATCTGAGCATCGAGCACCTCATCAATGATATCCTACAGAGAAAATGTGGTAACAGGTGCTCGAGGAGACTGTCCCACAAAAATATTAGATAACAATATCGGTGGCTCAAATGTGCCTCGATAATGATATAAATTTGCTATATTGTAAACAAAACTAATATTTAAGTATGTTGGTAACTCAAGTAGATAAGCATTAGGTCCAAGTCATTTAATAATGGGAAAAGGTCCAAGTGATTTGGCATAAAGCTTTTTAGTAGCGTGTTTAGGAAAACGTTTGGGTGCAAGTCGTATCATTACATATAAATTCTTTGTCTACGGTGAGAATCAGCCGTAAGTTTATAGTGATCATTACTTAAAAGAAATTTTACGTTTGATCTCATCATGCAAGTTGCAAATATGATCAACAAAAGCTTGAGCGGATGTAGCAGGACGAAAATCGGTAGGCAAAGGAACAAGATCAAGTGGCTGATGTGGAGGAAAACCCTGAATGATCTCGAAGGGGCTGTAACCGGTAGACTTATTGATAGAATTATTATAAGAAAATTCAGCAATAGACAACACAAGATCCAAATTACCCGGTTTATCCCCAACCAAGCAATGGAGTAGACCCCCTGCATGTAGTTTCCATATCAGAAAGTCACAAAGTGAAGTACGGGGAACACATAACTTAATATCTTTAAAAAGATAACCATCTTTAAGTATGAAAGCAACATGATCTCGGGAAGGATTATCTAAGAGTTCTTGAAAGATGATACCAAAGTCATGACAACTAGAATAATCGTCCTTCATACGCTCAAAACCCACCACAGTAGTTCTCATAGAATGAAGCATCATAGTGATACGACTAAAAGAGTCGGCTGCTTTATTTTCGATCCCAGCTCGGTAACGGAGAACAAACATGTATTCCTGAAGAAATTCGACCTACTTAGCGTGGCGCTCACTTAAATTACGCTGGAAATTAAGGTAGCGAAGAGCCTGGTGATTAGAATAGACAACAAATTCTTGAGGCTATAAATAATATTGCCAGTGACGGAGAGACTGGACCACGGCGTAGAACTCCGTGTTGTAGGTAGTATACTTTTTGAGCCTGATTTAGTTTTTTGCTAAAATAGGCAACGGGGTGACCATCCCGACTTAAGACGCCACCTATACCTACATCAGACGCATCACATGTAACCTCAAAAATCTTAGAAAGATCAGGGTGGCGCAAAATGGGGGCCTCAATTAATTTTTGCTTGATGGCTAAGAAGGCTTTCTGGCCTATGGGGTCCAACGAAAATTCCCTTTTTTCATACACTGCGATGGGGATTGTGATAGAGCTAAAACCTCGAATGAATCTCTCGTAGAACGAGGCTAACCCATGAAAGCTATGGACCTCAGTTAACGTGGTAGGTTCAGGCCAGTTGCGAATAACAGATATTTTAGCTGGATCAGCAAAAATACCTTGGGCGGAAACGATGAACCCTACGTAGAGAACTCGAGACTATAGGAATGAACACTTTTTAAGATTAGCATATAACTCTGTATAACGAAGAGTAAGGAAAACCTGTCAAAGGTGATCTAAGTGTGCTTCTTGTGATCGACTATAAATCAAAATATCATCAAAATAGACCATCAGAAACTTACCAATAAAAGGTCGCAAGACATGGGTAATGACCCGCATAAAAGTATTAGGCACATTCGACATCCCAAAAGGCATAACCAACCACTCGTACAAACTATCCTGAGCCTTAAATGTTGTATTCCATTCACCCCGGGTCGTATCCTAATTTGATGATAACCATTCCTTAAATCAATCTTACAAAACTACAAAGATCCTACCTACTGGTCCAACATATCCTCAAGACGTAGAATAGGAAATCAATATATAACAGTGATTTTTTAATGACGTGACTATCAACACACGCGCTAAGAGCCATCTTTCTTAGGGGTAAGAGTGTGACCGCACATGGGCTAAGGCTAGGGAGAATAAAACCTTTATCTAGTAAATTTTCAATTTGCCTATTGCGTTCTGCTCGTTAAAAAGGATTCATCCTATAGTGGGAGAGATTTGGCAATTGGGAACTAGGGACGAGATCAATAACATGTTGAATGTCTCACATTGGAGGGAGCTCATCGGGGAGGTTGGGGGGGGGGGATGATATCACTAAACTCATCAAACAAAGGAGTAACCTCATGTGGGCAATCGATGTAGGAATCAAAGGAGGGATGTGAGCATAGTTTGGTAACCAAGGTAAACATGGCCACGGTGTCGTGACCTTTACGCTCAAAGTCTTTAAAGGACAAAAGCTGAATTCGAGCGTTGGCAACATGTGTGTTTTGAAATGGGCGTCGATTTCTTCGAGGGGATAGAGGGCTTTGCTGGAAGGAGACAAATAGGTTTTCCGTTATAGACAAACTCATAGATATTGTCATGCTTCGTAAAGCCATTGGCGTCCTAAGAGGATATGGGCAACATCCATTGGGAGGACTTTACAGTATATGTTTTCAAGAAAAATGGACCCAACTGAAGTGGTATAAGAAAGCAATGAGTGACGGGTAAAGAAGTATGATCAACTCAAGCTACCTTAAAAGGTCAAGGATGTGGTTCGGGTGTAAAGCTGAACTTGACTACGTCAGACTTGGACATGACATTCATGGTGCTACCACCGTCAATTACGAACTTGCAAGTGCGAGAGTTGCAAGGGATGTAGGTATGGAAAATTTATGTTCATTTCCACGAATCCGAGTCAATAAGGGTAGACAAGATGCATCGCATAATGGAGAGGACAACTGCATCATCAGTGTAATCCTCTTATCTATCAATATCCTCATCAGAATGGTCAATAGGGTCAATCGTAAAACACTTGTTAAGCTCCAGAGTTGGAAGTAAAGATTCGTGTTCAAGGGCGAGGGTACAGTAGGGGCATCGAGAGGCAATGCTTGGCAATTATGACACACGAGGTAAGATGTGGGACCTCGAGAGGAGCTAGACAAGGTAGGCGGACCCCTAGTGGTATCGCAAGGAATAACATGAGAGGAAGACCTGACACCCGTGCGGGTTTGGGTGGGTACAAGGCCGTTATTATGAGTGGTGATAGGAGGCGGACGGGGTGGAAGATGATCGAGGAAGGCAGAAGAACCACGCCCTACATATGCAGAACGAAAATAACATTCATGTTTGAAAGCTTTGTGGAAACCATCTTCCAACGAGTAAGGATTGAGCACAACGACACGATGTTTGATGTCATGTCTTAACCTGTTAAGGAACCTGGTAATAGTAACATCCTCGGGTTCATTGAGGCTGGAGTGGGACAACTCCTCGTCAAAATGAGATCTTTACTCTCAGACGGTCGAGGAGTTTTGTTTATGGTTGAGAAGATGGTCTTTGAGTTGTAATCAATGATAAGGCGGGACGTACTTCTCTGTGAGCTTTAACTTCATTTCTCCCTATATAGTGATAGGCTAATCTAAATGTTTGAGGATTCGAGTAATTGTCTGCCAATAACGTTTAGCTGATTTGACAAGTTTCATTTTGGTGAAACGAATACGTTGATAGTTAACCATTTGGTACCAATTGAAGTATTCCTCGATGGCATCAAGCCGGTCAAGAAAAGCCTCGGGGCCCAATCGACCATCAAATTCAGGAGCATCTACCTTAACCTTCCTAGTGACATCATCAAAATGGTCTCGATGTTGGTTATAATGCCGACCATGATTGACAAAGGGTCACGAAGATCCAAATAGGGAATGTGGGGCCGTAGAGGTGTATCGTGGATGTTTTGACCTACAGTAGAGGATTCAGACACAACATCGACATGACGTTTGCCTGGGTTTCGTGAATTGTTCTACCTGTTCATTAAGGAGGTTGATGAGAGTTTTCACGTCAATTAGATCCGATTTTACTAGGTCATGTTTGCTGAGAGATTGACGACTTGATGAGCGAGGGCCACATGAGACTGGTTAAGGTCTTTAAGATTCATTTCAGGTTGTGATGTGTGTGTGTGTATATATTAATTCGGTAGTCTATTTAACCTTTTTTTTATTATAATAACTATTATTATTTTAATTTTTGATTTTTTTAATAGAACTAAAACAAAATCTACAAAAGAAGCAAAATCCTTTAAATAATAGAACAATTATCAAAAAGTAGGTTTGAGTCCTTACCAAAGTCACAAGAGCTTTCGAACAGAGGCGTCTAACGTCAGTAGTGGTGGTCAGACAAGGGGAAAAGGCAACGAAAGTCAATCTGGGAATGGCAAACCGAAAAAAATTTACCAACTATGGAAGAGCGGCAATGGTGGCCCAACATAGAGGCGATGCAATGATGAATGATATCGAGCAGCATAGGAAAGGAGGTAGCGGCGGTGGATCACGGCAGAAGCACAAATGGAAGGAGAAATTGGAAGCGGTGGTAGCGCGATAAAATAACAGGCGGCAGTAGCTTGGATAGACCGTGTGTGATATACCAGCAGCAGGTAGGCAATGTCTTCGAATGCACAAGATTGGCGAAGTCAACAGGAACATAACAAAGGCACTGACGGTTAAATGGTAGGGAAAAGAGGAATAGCGAATCCGAATCGTATTTTTGTCCACTGAGCATGGTAGCTTCTTATAGCAGTGGGGAAAGGTCGAATTGGGACGTGGGTGATGTGGTTGGGTTGGTGTGGTAGTTGACAGCAGGTGCAGGCGGCGGATTGATGACTGAAGATGATAGTGGCGTCTCGTGTTGTGACAGATTGAGCCAGATCAATATAAGGACCTGTAAGGCGGCTGTGGGTATAGTGATTGTGTGTGGGCTTGGTTAAGTTAGGCCAATATGGGCTTTAGTGTAGGCTTGGGTAAGCTTGTGTAATATGGGCTTGGTATGGATGCTGATGGTATTGGTAATTTATGTGTGATTGTGGCAGCAACAGGTACAGGACAACAATTGTGAATCACGAGTTTTTTTTTTCCTTTTTAACTTAAACTACTAAGAACTGAACTTAATATTGATAACCGGTGAACAGTCTGGTTTTCATCCTTTTTAACACGAATTAATAAAAACCAACAATCAACTATGTCCTTCTACTGATTTGTACCTTTTCGGTTGCTGCTGTTTGCTTTGGTGTTGGGTGTTTGTTGGATTGGGTTTCTGATAAAGGTTAAGTGAGTTTATTGGTTTAGGCGGCTGCTACGACACACTTCACGTGATGAACAAAAATTTGGTCAAACGAAGATCGCCTTTGCTCTAATACCAAATTGATGCCGAGAACAAGGCCCAGAACAATTTAAGGAGAGAAAGGAGCAAGAGAGAAATTAGAGAAGACTGGAATTTATTCAATAATAATAATGTGTCTATTACAATCAAAGAACCCCTTTATATAGTATTCAATCTAGGATTAGTAAGGAAATTAAGGTTTCCTTTATAAGAAAACAAAATCAATTGTCTTAAAATCACAATAAAAGACTATTAAGGCTCTGTTTGGTAGGGATTTAATTTTTCTACAGTAAATCAATTCTCATTTTCAACCATACATTCTTCAATAAAGTAATATTTTCCATCACATCAATAACTTTTCCTTCTTTTTTAACCACACATTCTCCCTCAATCTACTATTCTAAAATACAATCTTCCAAAATAATGTGGCTCAAACACACCCCCAATTGTATAGATCATATCACTTGTGAATACATGAAAATGACATAAACTAAAAATTAGTTCCATAAATAAATAATTATGGANTGTTGCATTAGCATCCGCATGACATTTCTCGTGTGACTTTTGATGTTCTAATACATTGATATGCATGTCCAGATACATGGGCACAGTTACGGGCATTGGTGACTTAGATCCCACCCGTTGGCCAAACTCTCACTGGCGTTCTGTCAAGGTAATGCATTACCTTAACGCGCCTTTATAGCTTAAGCAAGCACTTGTGGTAGTCTTTTTGCATCTTAATTTTCAATTTATTTCCATGTTTTTATCTTCTAATATTTAGTCCATGTTTGGTAGAGATTAAAATCAGATTTTTAGTAAATTTTGATAAAAGTTTATGAAATGAGTGGTTAAAAAGTTGTGGGTCCCATGAAATTTGTGGTTAAAATTAATTGTTGATTTTGATTTAGATGAAATTCTGAATTTTAATCTGGACCAAACAGGGGTTTAATAATTAATAGCGCTCGATGAGAGGAAGGTTTTTGGTGTAATTTCTATCCTGCCAATTGCTCATATAACATCCCTATGACCAATCCTTATCATCTCATTTCCTTGCCCAACTTTTAGAGTTGGTTGGTTGTGCTACTTTTTCACACTGGTTCATCATATACCCCTCGATATCAATTCTTATAATCCCTTATCCGCTCCAGTCACACAAACCAATAACCACTTTTACATGGCTAGGCAACACATTTTGCATATTTGGTCTCGCAAGCAACACAAACAGCATTAGCTACCTGAAGCTTGTCTCGAGATGCATCAGTGGGAGATCATTTGAGATTGATTAACTAGTTAAACAAGCCAAGATTGAAGAAAAGTTTAGTGCAATTTGTCAAACTTGAGTCTTGTTCAGTTCGATAAGCTTATGAATAATAAATTGTATAGAAAAGTACCTATCCACCTTAAATCAACTTGCGTCTCAGATCAATTAGAGCTTGACTGAGATTGGTTAGTTACACAATCAAGTCATGCTTAAAACTAATTATAAGCTCATTTAGAATTCAGGACAAGCTTGAACAATATGTTATATAACTTGACTCAGATTAAAACCTAACCAGATATGGACACTTAAGAATAGTAATTCGATATAAGTCAGGACAAAAAAACCTTATCAACACCTCACAATTGAGCTATCTAATTTTCAATGAACCATCAAGATTCCAAACTGCAGTTCTGTCCAGTGTTCTTTGGACCAAGAATGCTGCCATTTGGTTTTATGTCAAACATCAAATGTGTAACCACTGGCCTCCAGCATATAAGCATTATTGGTCCAAAGAGCATGGACACCCTTGGGTTGTTTCTGTTTGTGACATGGAGAAGGGGGATGGGGGCTTACCTAATTGCTAAGGCCTACATACATCACGATTTCCATTGGAATCATTTGTTGCCATTCAGTCTATGCTAACATCCAGACCCTCAACTCCTGAAAGCCACATGGGATTCGGGGTTTATATATTCGTTTTCACTCCAGTCCTTTGCAATGGTTTGGCTGAAGTTGATCTTTTCATTATGATATCCGAACATACTTGTTAATATTCATACGCTTGCTTTACCTATAGTAGTAGAGGAATTACGAGACTCATTACTGGTATACATTGTTGACTTTGATTATTTACTGTTTCTCTTGTTAATATATTTTGCTATCCATAGGTTGGTTGGGATGAATCAACAGCTAGCGAGAGGCAGCCACGAGTATCATTGTGGGAAATTGAGCCCTTGACAACCTTTCCCATGTACCCTTCTCTGTTTCCTCTCAGGCTGAAACGACCATGGTATCCAGGGGCATCATCTTTACAAGGTATGCTTCTGTCCAAAATTTACTAGTATTATTAGTGTTGATTGTAAACATCATCTGCTTGGAGGGACACAAAATAAGGAAAACCATGAGATGAGACTCGTCACACGTTAATATCTAATAAATTCTGAATTTCTTTATACATTTGGCATGACTGAAGGTCGAGCATTCCTTCATACTATAAATGATGGATACAATTACATGTCTCAGTTTTACAAAAAAAAAAAAAAAAANAAAAAAAAAAAAAAAAAAAAGCTCTATGAGGTTGGATACTTAAATGGAGGAAAATAAACATAGATATGCACCAGTTATCATTACTTTCTAGGTACACGTACGATTGTCTAGATTTTATTGTTAAGGACAGGTCTTACGTTTTCTCCTGAATTTCCCTTTCTTTTTTCTTAGTTGAATGTAAGAGGAGAAAATTTCTTCCATCAAGCCGATAATTCAAAGCTAGCAAACTGGCCATGGGTGGCAAGACTAAAGAAAATACTTCAGAAAACTTGAGTTTTTCCAAATAACAGTCTTGTATGCTAGATTTTGATATATTATTTACTGGAGTAATTAAAATTGAAGCTTATGCAAAAGTGAATAACGAAAGTATAGAAAAGGGACTTTCAAGTTCTGTAATATTTGTCATATTGATAGTTTAATGTTCTCGAACCAAATATGTGAGTCTTTTTATATTCTAAGTTTTTTCTGTGATCCTACCATGGATAGCGGTAATGAAGAAACAAATGGCATCACATGTTGACAGGTGACACTGCTGAGCGAGGACTCGGTTCTATGAATTTTCAATCTGCCAGTATATTTCCCTGGATGCAACCAATATTCGATCCAACGGTCCTAAGAAATGATCTCAATCAGCAGTACCAGGCTATGACGGCCACAGGATTGCAAAATTTTGGAACTGGCGATATACTGAAACACCAATCATCACAGTTCCAGCAGCCGGTTCGATATCTTCAGCATCCCGGAAGTCATAATTTGCTCTCAGAGCAGCAGCAACTTATAGAGCAATCAATTTCTTCGCATATGTTCCCAGCACAAAACCAAATGCTGCCAGATAATCTGCAGAGGGCCCCTCAACAGCAAATGAACAGTTCGTCTGAAGAACATCCACAACAACATACTTATCAGGAAGCATTTCCAATCCAAAATGATCAGTTCCGACAGAGGCAGCCATTAGATATTCCCTCCCCTTCATTTACTAAATCAGACTTTACAAACTCAAACAGAAAATTTTCAGCATCTGTAACTCCTTCCCACATGCAAAATATGCTGGGTTCACTTTGTTCAGAAGGAAATGGTAATCTTTTGAATCTTTCAAGATCTAGTCAGGCAATGCTCAATGAGCAATCACCTCGTCAATCGTGGGTTATGAAATTTGCTCAGTCACCAATGGGTGATTGTTCCAATTCAACATCATTCCCACCATATCCTGGAAAAGATGCTTCTTGTGAGCAGGAAACATGTACCGTGGATACCCATAATCATGCTCTTTTTCGTGCCAATACGGACTCCTCGAGATTCCTGCTTCCCACCTCTGTTTCTGGTGTTAGTCCTTCAGCTCATGCTGATATGTCCCCCATGCCATTGGATGCTCCTGTGTTTCAGAATTCTCATTATGGTTATGAGCAAGATTCTTCCGAGTTGTTGCACAGCACAGGACAAGTCGACCCACCAATCTCAACCCGTACTTTTGTCAAGGTACGAGTTAGAGTTTGTTGTATACTTCTTTAGTATTGGTTACATTAAGCTACATGTTTGGTGCAGGTTTACAAATCTGGGTCCGTTGGTAGGTCACTGGACATCACCCAGTTCCACAGCTATCATGAGCTGCGAAGGGAACTAGGTCAGATGTTTGGGATAGAAGGGTTGCTTGAAGACCCTCAAAGATCAGGCTGGCAGCTTGTATTTGTTGACGAGGAGAATGATGTGCTTCTCCTTGGAGACGGCCCATGGGAGTAAGTAATTCTATACGAAACTATCCACCATTATTTTTCCTTCCTAGAGTCAAGTTCTTCAGGATAAAGGAAGTACTTGTTATCTAATTCACAGATTAAAACTTGTAATTCTTGGTCCTTGTCTGCAATGGAACATATTGGGCATGGTGTTTGGTATACAATATTAGACAGCATTGCACAATGCAATAGACAAGATTCTAGCTATTTTTTGCTTCTTTAATACTGCCTGGTACTATATGCTTCAACCTTAAAACGAGCAACTGAAGTCGTAATAATCCCGTGTTTGAAATTATTTTTCTATCACTGCTCCTTTTCTGATACTGCAAATCATCTGTATAATCACTTGGGATTGTAACATATGGCATGAAATATGCAGGGCATTTGTGAACAACGTATGGTATATCAAAATCCTTTCTCCAGAGGATGTGCTGAATTTGGGAAACGAGAGGCAGAATCCTTGGGTAGAAGTCCCGTTGAAAGGATAACTGACGTCAATGGCCAAGATCTTATTTCTGAACTTCCATCTCTGGGTTTGCTTGAATACTGACACGGATGCTTTCCTTAAGGTGCTCGGTTCCAGATTTTCCTCTGTAGCCCAGAAATAGCTGATTTTATGTGTATCTTTATGCACGGTGGTCTTTCCTCCAAATTCTGAGCATTATGTGTAGGTAAGTATACGCATTGCCATAGTAGCAGTCAATTAGGTTTTATTGAACATGCATCTAATGGACATCCACGTATTATTCAGGCTAAGAATTAGAAAACCAACATTTTTTAACTAAATGTATTGTAATGCTGTGGAGTTGAGCAATATAACTTTGCTCTGTATTAAAACATATCTATTCCTGGGCATTAAGATATCAAACTGCCCTTTCTGTTTGGATGTAGATGTACGCAAGAGCTTTGGTGTAGTTTTAAACACTATTGAACACTTTTAAGTAACGTAGTTTTAGTTTTTTTCTTTAATTATGTTTAGTCTTAATGCAATCTTCCTTATCAAATATGACATTAGCAGTAATAAGCATTCCAATTATATAAGCTTATGATCGAACTGCTACTGCATGTTCAGTCTCTATGATGCGGACATCATCACGATTTATGCTATTGTTGATTTTATTATTATTCGGCTTGTAGTAGTGGGTTGACCTAAATCCGTCACTAGTAGGTTTCTTTTTTACTATTTATTGGATTTTCATTGTTGTTGAATTAGTTAATGATTGAGTAAAAGTGCAATTGGCGGCTGCCACGTTTTCTTCTCCCTCATGTTTCTTCTCATGGTTTCTTTCCCCTGCTTCTTTCTCTTCTGTTTTCTGCTTGCTTCTTTTCTAATTGATAGTTAATTTCCTATTGATTCTACATCAAATTTGGTATCAGAGTTATTTCTACTGTTTTCTCAACTGTGGAGTAATTTGGGATTCTTGTCACCACTTCCTTGGAAGAGAGGTTTGAAGTTTGAGATACAAAATTATGAAAGCAGGAGGCCAGCAGCTTCAAATCGCCGAGGCATCATCTTCAAAATTGTTCCAACCACCATCAAATTCGCTGGCAACTTTGAGTGGCAGAATATCGTCCATATATTTTCTGATTGATCTTGTTGTCTAACCCAATACAACCTTAACAAATCCAATAGAAATAGGTACAATACCCATATTCCAAAGCTCTCACAATCCAACAATTAAATAAAAGGGGAAATTACATAATTCGGGTGTTTGAAGATTGTAATTCAAAAATCAGGGACCAACTTTCATTATTCAAAAATTAGATAATATATTAAAACCCTAATCCTAATTTATCATTCTCAACTCCCTCACATCTATCTCTCTCTCTCTCTCTCACACACAAACACACACAGTCTTTCTCCTCCCCTTCCCTCTCTCTATAAATCTCCCCCTCTGCCCACCATCGACCACCGCCTACCGTCGAAGACCATCGCCCACATCAACAATCCACCGCCGAACTCATGGCGACGATCAAGGCAGAAGCACAGCAACTCGATCTGAAATTTTCTCCTTCAAGACCACCGCTTGGAGCAACTGTTGGGGTGATGGATCTTTGTTGCTATGACGCTGTCGTGCGACCCTTTCACAGCAGTGTCGCAACGGGTGCTATGGATGTGTGCGCTGTGGCGGAGTAGAGTTGTGGTGGTGGTGGCGTTGCGACGGGTAGGGGTGTGGTGGGGGTGACGGGTTAAGGGTTTTTTGTTGGGTGGTGCTATGGGTGCAGTGGTGGCAACGGCGTGGTGCAGATGTAGTATGTGGTGGGTTCGAATCTGGTTGATGATGGTGGTGATAGCGTGTGGTTGGATGCGGTGGTGGTGATGTTGGTGGCTGTGGTGGTGATGGCGGCGACGGAGTGAGGGTGGTCAAAATCGGTTGAAATGGTAGTGCCAATGGTATGTGACCAATTATTTAATTGTGACCCAAAATTTTGACAATATGTGATTGAAAAATAATTTGTGACCAACAAATTTGAAAATATGTGACCAATGAATTAACTGTGACCTATAATTTTTTGAATTTGTGACCTCGAAATCATCATTGACTAATTAATTTGATAATATGGGACCAATAAATAAATTGTGACATATAATTATGTATATGTGACCATTAATTGTATAATTGTGACCTAATTAATAAATATTTTTAATTAATTACCTAATACTTGAGTTTTGAATATTTAAACTATTTACCTCACTTTTGAATTGGTGTAAACCATACACCTGAAATATGAATTTTTTCCTAAATAAAATAAGAGGAAATTACCTAAAACCAGTTGTTTAGTTTGACTTTTTTAAAAATCAGGTTTTAACTTTATTTAATCAAAAATCAGGTTTTAATTTTACAATTAATATTAATAATGATATTTTAAATTAAATTAATCTATATACCCACACCCACCCCCAACCACAACCAAATTTCAATCACAATTTTGAAACCCTACTCTCTCTTTCGTCTCTTCTTTCTCTTTTCTCTCTCTCCACCGCCCGCCGTCTCCACCGCCACCTCTTTCTCCACTCTCTCACCTCTCTCCACAACAGCGATTCATCCACCACCACCGCTCGCCCCCTCCTCCCCTCTCACACCTCTACACACAATGGCGATACATTCACCATCGCCGCCCGCCACCTCCTCCTTTCTCTTTCCCCCACTCTCCATTCTTCTCTCTGCCGGCGTCGCGATGCTACTGTGAACGGCAGCAGCATTGCGACGAGGAGAGCCCCACTATTAATCCTCCAAGCCGTGTTTAAGAAGCAATCAGAGAGGAAAAGTTGAATATTATTTGAAGTGCGTTCAACTTTCTCGAGCAATTTCTTTACAGGTAATTATTGAGATGAATCTTCTTTCTATATTTCAGGAGGCAGGGTCGGGTAAGAACGATATTACTGTTGTGGTGGTGTTGTGACGGGGCGGCTGTTGGTGGCGGATGTGTGTTGGCAGATTCGTTATTGGTGGTTTGGGTGGTGGTGGTAGTTGTTGGTGTTATTGTTGGTGGGTGGTTGTGGAGATGGAGGCGGCGGTGGCGGCGGGCGGATGGGACGAAGAGTGTCTGACCAACTATTTAGTCGATCTGTGACCAAGTGTTAGTAGTGTTTTGGTGTATGTGACCAAATATATCGATCGTGACCAAGTATTGGTGGTGCACTGAGATTGGGGTATGTGACCAACTATTTGGTTGATTTGTGACCAAGTCTTGGTGGTATACTGGGATTTGGGGAATGGTGTTTGGGTGTATTTGACCAGCTATATGGTTCTCTGTGGCTAACTATTTAACCGTGACCTCAAAATTCGTTAATTTGTGACTCAAAATATAATCCATGACCAACAAATTTGGAAATATGTGATCTCTGTTATCTACAATTTTTTTTAACTTGTGACCAATTAAAAATTTGTGACCTATCATTTTTTTGATCAGTGATCAATGAAATCAATTGTGAGTGACCTATAATTTTTTTGATTTGTGACCTCGAAATAATCCGTGACCAATTAATTTGATAAGTTGTAACCGAAAATTAAAATTTTTACTTAATAAGATATTCGTAACCTCGAAATCGGAGCAGTTACCGGAATTAAGCAGCAGCAAACGGTCACCGAAATAGTCGTCGGAGTAGTAGGGGTGATGGAGGTGAGGTGAATTAATTATATTATATTACAGTTAAATATTTAATTTAATATAATAATTGTAAAATATAATTAATTAATTCAAGAAAAAACTTAATTTTTGCGATTCTAAAATTTGGGGCCTGATTTTTGATTTTATGATAGATAATACATGATCCATGAATTTTTCCCATAAAATCACGGCTACTGGCCCAAACCACATCTATTACTTCAAAACCCATAAAAAACCCAAATAGACAATAATAGGTCCAACTCTATTATATACACACACGAGGGCAGATCTATATGGTGTCATGTGGGGTCACATGACCGCACATATAATTTGAGTTTTTTTTGTAATCAGAACTTTTGAGAGAAAGAGTGCATGAAGAGAAAGAGCCCATTAAGTGACAATATTATATTATTTAATCAATTAAGTGGTGTGTGTAAAAATTATATAAATTCAAATTTTGTTTAACAATTTGGTCTTATAAACTATGTCATTTGTCCTAATATTTTTTTATATTTTTATTATCATTAAATTTATGGTCGAACTTTATTTGAGATTGAATATTTCATTTCGCTTATTGGTTTATTGAGTTTTAAACTCATAGATTAGCTAGTTAAGAAAAATATGAATACATATTGCATATTTTAATTTAATGGACGTTTCATGCCCCCAAAAGCTTCGACCTCGATTAAATTTCATTTACACTGAACAATATTCCTGGCTCTACCCCTAAATATTTTGCATATGTTGTTGCAATTTGTTATTTTCTTGTAGCATTCATTGGATATCACACATTTGGGATTATCATTGATGATAATATTTTTCTTTCACTTGAAAAATCCAACTGACTTGTTGCAATGACTAATATGTTCGTTGTTGTTTATGTATTGAAAATTATCGGGTAAATCTTTTTTTTCCCGAAAGTTTCCTATTCCGATTTATTCGGCTAGTTATATTTTATCGTGTTTATTCATTTTTAGTTTTTAAAAAACTCGTGTATATGTCATGCCAGTGTTTAACATAATAGAAACTTGAGGTGTAAGTCAAGTCTTGATCGAGCGCCGATGACTGAAGTTTACTGTCCTTGGAACATCCGAGTTTTACTCAAGCGTCCTTAATTTTTGACCCCACAGTAAAAATAGTTTGGGTCCGCCTATGTATCCTTAACCTCGACCCAACTCAAATTAAACCATATACATGATATCAGGCCCTAGACATCCCAATATCGTCACCTTCATCTTCTCTAAACCTTGATCCTTTTCCCACTACCGGCAGCATCCTCATCTTTGGTACGTTCGACCACCATACGGTCCATACCCCTTCCCTTCTACAGCCTATTATACCAACAGACCACTGATCGACAGTCGACTATACACTT